GTTTATGTCAAACTTATCAGACTTCACAGACTTCAATTATCACCTGTTGAAATCTCCCCAACAAATACTCACGAATCCAAATACTCACCAAAACCAAACTTGGTCTCGAGACGCTGAAGCAATATCGTATGTTCAAATCTGAACAAACCAATAGCGACACCTGCTGTTTAGTAAGATGTCATTTCGAACACGAAGTAACGCTGTTTCAGTACTATGAAACCGCCGATAAGCAGACTGCAACTCAGGAAAAAGCCCATGTGCCATTATATGAGAGGTCATTTGTTCAGCGACTACCTTTTCTGTAAGCTTAGACAGAAACTGTAGGTTGTTAACAGGTCGAAAGTTTTTCTTCATGAGTTTCAAACCTGGTTTCTTCATACTGGGTTTGACTAGCGCCTCTTTCCACACACCAGGGAAGCGTCCTTGTTCAAGAGAAGTATTGATTATATATATATATATATATATATATATATATATATATATATATATATATATATATATATATATATATATATATATATATATATATATATATATATATATATATATATATATATATATATATATATTTATATATAGTTGGTGGTAATTCACCCAAGCAATCTTTGACAATACTGGTAGGAATCGGGTCGTTTTCACAACTTTTTGCAGGCAAACTTATAATCAACTTCTTCACTGAATCCAACGGGAGTCACTCAAACTTAGTTAAGGGGGTTCCCAGGTTATGCTCATCGGAAATGATCTGCCCTTGCTATCTTTTGGTAAGCTCTTTGGTGGTAGTTTCGGTCCCATTTTGACAACAGAGCCTCTCTCACTGGCAGAAAGACTTTTCCAACTTCCTACATCATTGCTAATTTCAGTAATTTGAACGGTGGATTCAGTACTCGTAACATTTGTTGACTGTCCATTATCTGTTGATGTTTCAGGATATTCATTTGTTGACAATTCCTCGCTAGTATTATCGTGCATTATAGTACATCAGTCGAAGTGAGAACTAGACAAACAGTCGACTCAGTAACTTTACAATTTGGAGAGTCGTTGCATCTACTTCCGACAGCTTTTTCTTTCTCAGAAGTGGCTTCATCGATTTCATATGCGTTTTACGCACCTAAATCAATTTTATTGTCCAAATGAAGTCAGTCCCCAAACTAGACCTTACCTAGACTGATTTAAAAATAAAAATTTAAGCCCAGCGAATAAATTTCAGACAAGACATAAAAAAATAAATCTTTTGGCTAACGTTTCGTTGTTATTTCGTAGCCAAAAAATTATATATTTTTGTTATGTCTTGTCTGAAAGTTATTTGCTGGGCTTTAATTTTCATTTTTAAATTACGCTTTCCACCCGGTGTATCAATCTCGCTACTATATAACCACGAAAATTTGCAGACGAAAGATATAAAGATACCAAGCAAGCAATACTCGATGCAAAATTGCTTCCACCGCCAGCATAACACATGCATTGGTTTTAAAGGCGTGTTTTGCATGGTGAACATCTCATTTCAAATTCACCGGATTAAGGACTCCCAGAGTAAACAAGGGCAAATAATGTTAGTCAATCAGCGCGTTTGTTTACATTTTGCGTTCTTGACCAATCAGAATGCCTGAAATTCAAAACATGTAAACAAAAGGAGTGAGAAAATAACACCTTGTTCCACGCCCTCGGTGACATTCGATATTAAACTTTTTTCGCCAAAACTGACAAATTCTGCTAAAGCATGCTTTCTTCTTTAATTTCCTCGGGGGGATTTTTAAAATTCGATCTAGAACGCGAAATATTTATGTTTGAATAACAGTGTTTCGACGCGCGTAAAATAGCAGACTCTCACTTGCACTATCTTTACACACACATAAAAAATTGGTAGATTTGGCAGTTTAAACTTATTTTCCCCACACCACAGCTGACATGTTTTTAAATATTACCTGTCTGATCTCATCGATCTCATTTCGCATCGGAAATGCGTCACAACGATCCAGGACTGACAGGTACAATATCGCATGACTCATTACTGTACATTAAAAGTACATATCCGGTTGGCAAAATGGCGATTGTCTGACAGACCTTCGCGAAGGGCTTAATATTTTCGCTAATAAACTGTTCACGAGGGTTTCGTTCTGTTCGTCTTCTGGTTCGTCGTCAATCGTCACCGGCTGCCTCACTTTCTTGGTCGCTTTCGTCCTCTTCAAAGCAAGTCGCCGGGGCAATCAGCGTTACTATTTGCTGTCTTTCGAAGACCTTCCAAGAGCTTCAACATTTGCCA